CACATAGAACCACCATGACCAACTGAACCTACCGAAGTGGACTGACTCACTGTAGTGGAAGTTGTAGTTTACTCTACAGCCAAAGAGCATAGTGAACCCATCGACAATGCATCTAGAGCAAACTTGCCCAACATAACTATAAATACTGATGGAGTTTCTTGGAGTTAACCTGGCATGATGTCAGCTGTACTTAATCTACAACCTTATGAATTTAGTAGAATTAAAAAATGACTTTTTTCAAATAACCAGGCAACACCAGGTGCCCAAGCTAGTATAAAATAAAAGGAAAACAGCCAGCTTGGATATAGGGGTATGCAGAAGAAGGGGAGACTCCAAAGACCCAATGTCACTTTACTGATGACATGCCAGCACAGAAACAGAAAGTACCTAAGACAGGTGATGGGAGCATTGCATGGTTGAAAGCTATTGATGGGTTTAAATTGTTCATAGCTAAGGAAGAGAAGAATCATAGGGAGGAGGCAGATGAGCAGCAGAATACATATGGCGTTGGGAGATTAGGGACTGTCACCAGTTGCAATGCCAGTTTTCCTGTCCCGTGAGATAAAACCATTAGTCTCACAGGAAGAGTGCTCTGGATTTGGTCCAGGAATCTCTATTGCAAATTCCCAACGGAGCAATTTTAAGCCCTAATTGTTTCCAGTCTTCTTCTTCATACCTTGAAATTGTTCCACTCAATGTTACTTATATTAAATTTTGTGGTGCTTTTTAATTGAGATATGTATCCATTAGTGGCTAGGCTCAGACCACCGATAGGATTTCCTTTACCCAGTGTGTCCTACTTCTCAAAAGGTTAAAGCCAGACAGATTAACCTAGTCCCGTTTACATTCAATGGTCTCAATGTGCTATCAATTACTTATGCAGATTGGACGAAAGAAAAAACAAAAGGGTTTCTCTTTGAAAGGATGTGGTTTCAGAATGTTCCAAAATAAATGATTCCAATCTAGCAATCTGTCTTTACTCACGTCAACTCTTTCATGTGTGTACTGATTTCATTACATACTACATAAAGATGCCACATGTAGTTTCGAAATTAAATAAGATTAATTCTTCCTGTAATAAAAAGAGAATGACTAACATTCACAATCAAATATTGGGGGGTTTTTCCATTCGTAGGAACACAAGACAAGCGGCAATCATATAATTGGTTGCGTGGGAGAAAACAACACTGAAATCTGTGAAACTTGCTTCTGAGTAGACACATCTACTCACAATTGTTTTATTAATGGTATTTTATTGCTGCCATTTTTCTGAACTGCTATCATAATATACCTTCTGCATTTATTGTCTGACTTTGCTAAATGAGTCAATGATATAACACCCTGTTATTTTTACCTGATATCCAGAATGCTTTACAGCAAAAGTCACCAAAGCCTACTCTCAAATGACTCCAACTTAAATGACTGGTGAAGTTCAAGATTAATTGTGCCCTCATATGACGAATTTCCTGTTACAAGCTGGCGGTCATGACCCACATTCAAACATTTCCAAATAAATTAACTACTTTAGAGACTGCCTAGCTTCAAAGCTAAAGTCTTTCAAACTATACTTGTCATATTAATGGCTGCACTCTTCATATTCCGTGTGTACTTTCACAAGATTGTTTTTACCATGTCGTGCAGTTTCAGCAGACTGACAGTCTCCTCACAAAATCCAGCAGCCAAACAAGTTCAGTTTATATGTCACATAAAGGCACAGAAAGAAAAAGAGCAGATGTAAAACTTGTTTCCTTCAGTTAAGGAATCCATTTCTAGAAAAGCAGTAGCCATCTTAGTCAACAGAACAAAACAAAAGAGTTGTGTGGAACCTGGAACACCTTATTGCAAGAGTAGGCTGCACTGAACACAATGGTACATAGTTCTGGATAAAGAATAGTTTGGTTTCTAGTATATTTAACAGTTCAAGAACTGATTTATGTAGTACAATTACTGTCGTACAGAAATCTTTAAGAGAAGTCATTTTATTCAAAATAGAGGATAAGGTCAATAAGAGGAGAATCCATAATCTCTAATGTCTGTGAGAATACTGACAATGGGATGTCTCCAAATTTAGGTTGGATCTATACTGCCATATAATGCATTATATGGTCAGTGTAGGTCTATATAATTAACTGCATTGAACTTCATTATATAGGTCCAATCTTTTCCCCAGGGAAAAAACATGAACTGGTGGGAAAGTAAAATTTATTGTACATCAAACTTATATTTTCCCTAAAATTGATTTATTGCTTAAGAACATGAAATACTTAATTCAGAATGAACATAAAATGTACTGTTAATCATATTTTAACAATTTAAAAATATAAAAGCCTTGGGTTTGTAAAAGCAAAACTGGGAATATACTCTACATCTGCAGTTTTTACATTGAGCTCCATAGAGCCCTTGGAGCTCCAGGAATCATTCTGAGGGACTCCACACTTTCCTTCCTCCTCCAAGCGTGCTTCTCCTACCCCTCCAAGCATGTGCGAAAGTAGCAGCAGCTTTCCTTCCTCTTTCCTGCTCTTCCCCCTCCAAGCATGTGTAGCGAGAATGAATGAAGGCCCGGAAAGGAAGGTATCACACAAAGAGAGGGAGGCACTGCTGAGGAGGAAGGCAAGGCCTCTCTCGGGTTCTGTGGCCAGGACTCCTTCCCACTCTTGCCAGCAGCACTGTCCTCCTGGAGCACAGACCCTTTCCCCATGTCCCCTTGCCATGCAGACCCTTTACCGCATGCCCTCAACATGCAGACCATTTCCCCCATACCTTATTTCCTTCCCCCCACTCAGGGGTGTTTTGATTGTGTTTTTACTCCATGGTAGAAGGGTGTTGGACTGATGTCCCCTGGGGTTGCTCCTGTTGTTGTTGTTGTTACATAAGCTGTATGATCACCTGCTGGGAGTGCTCTGATTGTGCTTTTATTGCATGGCAGAAGACATTGCTACCCTCAGTAAAGCTGGCTCATTGAAATGGCCAAGTCATTTTAAATATACTTTTTAAACAGCCCAATATCTAAAGACAGAAATGTCTAAACACCTCAGGAGGGTATTTACCAGAACTAGATGTGAACAGTTGGATACAATGATCAAACATGGAAGGTTTAACCAAGTTCCATATAATGAACAATTTTGTATCTGTGGAGCATTGGAGGTAGAAGGTATCACTCACGTACTGTTTATTTGTAACTTGTATAAGAAAGAGAAAAACCAGTACCTCGGGTCATACATTATACAAAACACACACTGAGGTCCGTATATTAAACTACATTTTTATTGGCTGGCCAGAATGCTAAAATAACATATAAAATGGCATTTTTTTCTATTTAAAGCAACACAGCAGAGAACTGCGTAGAGTCAATTGGGATAAACTGTAGAGGTGATGAAGATATTTGATTTGGATCAGGACCTTGCTAACAATAAGAGCATGTTTATTTTAACTTATGTTGTACTGTGGGTTGTATGCTGTATGTGTCTGTGTATGTGTTTGTCAAATGTTTTGATGCAGCCAATAGGCTAATCAATAAAATGTCCTACTACATTGGCAGAAGAGGGTTGGACTGGATGGCCCCTGGAGTTGCTATTATTATTATTATTATTATTATTATTATTATTATTATTATTATTATTACAAAGACTGGATGGCCATCTTTTGGGGTGCTTTGTGTTTTTCATGCATGGCAGAAAGAGGTTAGACTGGATGGCCTCTGGGGTCTTCTACCGAAATACTGTTAAGTTCATGTTGGTTAAAATTGTTCTTCATTTTAAATATTGTATTCTTCTTTCCTTTTTTACACTACAAACAAGATATGTTCAGTGTGCATAGAAATTTGATGGTTTTTTTTTTCAATTAGTTCACACAAACATTCTCCATCAATTTGCCACTGGCTCGGTTTGTCTGTCAAATTTTAAAATGCAATGCATCAAAAAGTTTACTCATGCCTGATATGTATACTACATTATATAATATGTAATATAATGTATACACATTTCTTGGGGTCCCACGAGAAACTTTTGCTTCAAAAAGGGCTCCGGGGCTGAAAAGGTTTGAAAACCCATGCTCTACACAAATAAGAAAACTATGAACTACCCTAAGTCACCTCATTATATGTATCCTAGTTTTGCTATGTGAGAAGTAATAAAAATGACATTGAAAATAAAAACCACAAAAATTGCAATAAGCAAAAGGAAGTGTATGGTTCAGACAAAAACTGTCTCATACAGTCATGATCTCAAGACACTGGCTTGGAGCATTTTTGTAAATCTAAAATTTAAGTGAGCACCGATTGAGCAATAGTGTATTACTATCACATAGTATATTCATTGTGAACAGAACTGGTCACATTTAAATGTTAAACATACCCTTGAAAATGACAGCACCAGAAATTTACAATAAGAATCATTTCCAGAAGATTTACTTTTGAATCTAAGCCTTCATTTTTGACATCATGGATTTCAAAACTTGAGACTTGCATAAATTACAAGCTTCCACTATCTGTAGAAGGGGATTTTAGATTTCGATGTATACACAAGAACAACTGTTCTCTAATTGTTTGCTTATCCTACAAACTCTCTTACATACTAATCTTCACATTACACAATTCCTGAACAAAATCCTTGTCCCCAAGGATTCCAATTTTTCCCCACTGGAAAAATATTTTCATTTTTTCCACAGGAAAAAAAATCCAAAAAAATGTTTTAAGGAAAAGAATGGGGGAAATGCGGGAAGCATCCAACCTGCTACAAATATTTCCTGAAAGACATCCAGTAGCTTGAATCAGGTAGCTCACCCCATGAAGTGACTGCTGGATTGTATTAAATACCTACTACCAGAATGAAGTCTGGGCAGAAAGTAGGTTAGGTCATTGGGTAATATGCAACTCTGCAGAAAAGGTTTCTAATTAGCACTGCAATTTTAGGTCTACATGAAAGTATTAGATTTCCTGACTTGCAATAATAGTAAAGATCAGTGTTTAAGTTTAGACTATGTCACATGCACATGCATTATACCTGTGGAAGGATCTACTGTGAAGAGAGAAGAGAGATCCCCTGGTACCAGTTCGTAAGTCACGACTCCATATATCCCAGAATCCTTGTCTGTAGCCACAACGTTGATGATTTCTGTTCCTGGCTGTGTATGGCTGCTGATACTTGCAATGTAAGTTGATGGGTGGAAGACAGGGTGATTGTCATTGATGTCTTCTATCTCTATGCGAACAAAAGCTTGGGCACTTAATCCACCCTGTGAAATAAATCAAACAAATTCCAAGACAAAGGTCAACTATAATAAAGAACTCAGCACATACATTTTTCACTTTGCTAGGCAAGAAGACAATGTGTTGGCTCAAAGGAACTTTGAGTTACATTGTGAAACAAGTGGACAGTGTAAAAATGAAACTTTAGCAAATCCACAAAGAACAAATTCTTCACAGTTAGCATCTATGCATAGTCAACGTTTTCCATTTAAATGCAAACCAAGTACATGGATCAGATTGCTACTGAAAATATGAATTCCTTTCTAATAAATCTTTTCTTTGGAGAACATATGGAATGTCTGCTTGGAAAGAAGGAAAAGCAATAGATATTGCTATTAATACAACATTAGTTTGGGTTGGCGATGAGTGTGCAAAGTTACATTCACTTATACACCTAACAAAATTATAAACCAAACTTGAGAGAATGCCAAATGGTACTGATTGGAGGAAAGAAACTGGCAAGAATATGCTGGAAAGAAATGAATGTACCAGGCTGAGAATCCCTTATCACCTGTGGGTCCTTAGGTGTTTTGGTCTACAACTCCCAGAAATCCCAGCCAGTTTACCAGATGTTAGGATTTCTGGTAGTTGAAGGTCAAAAATCTGGGGACCCACAGGTGGAGAGCCACTCTGTTATCAGGAATGCCCAAAATCTGAAACCGTCCAAACTGGCTAAGATGAAACATTTGATGGTTCAATGTATACAAAAAAAATTCATGCACAAAATTTGAGCCCCATCTCCAATAAATTTTGTAGTGTGTGTGTTGTGTGTGTGTGTGTGTGTGTATATATATATATATATATATATATATATATATATATATATGCAAATATGGGTTTTCCAAAATCTGAAATCCAAAGCACTCCCCACACTCTGCACAGCCTTGACCCATCTCAGCCACTATTATTAAAAATAATAATTAATAATAATAATGACACTTGATTTGTATTTCACCCAATCTCCCTGAAGGGACTCTGGGTGGATTCAGCATATACAGAGACACAAGGCAAACATCCAATGCCTCGAAACAATGAAACACAGATAGACAGATAAAGGTAAAGGCTTCCCCTTTCATCTCCAGCTCTGAGTGTGGTGCTCATTTCCATTTCTAAGCCGAAGAACCTGTGTTGTCCATAGACACCTCCTGGTCATGTGGGCGGCATGACTGCATGGAGTGCTGTTACCTTCTCGCTGGAGCGGTGCCTATTAATCTACTCATATTAGCATGTTATCAAACTGCAGGATCTGGGGCTAATACAGGGAGCTCACCCTATCCCATGGATTTGAACTACCAACTTTCCAGTCAGCCAGTACAGCAGCTCAATGATTTAACCCACTGAGCCACCGCAGCTCCTTTATTTATTGTTGCTGTGGCCATTACTGTTATCCTCTTCTCAACTGATGGGGTCTCGCATTTCTTTCTAGCTCCTTCTTTGTTTCTGGTAGTGGTAACACACTTCTATTCTCTGGATCATGGGCAGTAGGTTGGCCTATATGGCTGCTCGAGATCGGCTACTGCCACCCTAACTTGGGAACGCAGCTACCATGATCTCTAATCCTCAGACCCACCATGTATCTTGCCATCTGGAAACTGGATGAGAGGAGTATGCTGCCACTGCCAGAGCTAGAGAAAGGAGCCAGAAAAGTAGTGTGAACACAGACAAGGAGCAGAAGGAGGCAACAGCTGCAGCAACATATGGCATAGGAAGCAGTCTGTGCAAAGGCAGGGTGTGATCATTCACTTGCTCACAAGTAAATGACCCATCTTCCCTTTAAACTGCCCAGAAGGAAAGGCCTAATCTCTAGTAAATAGAAACATAGTTTGTAATCTTTAAAAAAAAATTTATTGAAAATTTTCATTAAAATCCTTAAAAGAAGAGACAAAAGAAAGAAAAGATAAAAAAGAAAGAAGAGAAAAGGAAAAAATAAATAAAAGAATAATAATAATAAAAATGTTTTTATTTTAAACATAGTTTGTAACCTAACTGTAACCATTTTGAGGCTCACCATTCTCAAATGCTCCATGCAGTCATGCCGGCCACATGACCTTGGAGGTGTCTACGGACAATGCCGGCTCTTTGGCTTAGAAATGGAGATGAGCACCAACCCCCAGAGTTGGATACGACTGGACTTAATGCCAGGGGAAAACCTTTACCTTTACCTATTCTCAAATATGTACTTCTACAATGAGAAATGAAGGATCTACTATAAAACCACAACCCAGTTTGCCTTGTTGTAGTTAAGTGGCTTCATATTCTTGGCAAATCAAGAATCATGGAGCTGTAATACATTACTTAGCCAGCAGGTTTCATACACAACCTGTTCAATCAAGTAGCATCACCCAAAAAATTATACTGGATCTTTTGTGTGAAGATTGTTGGAGAACAGAAGCATCCATCAGCATTATCACTCAATGATAATGCTTTCATTATTGCAACATTAGCTCATATTGCTGTATTTTCTGTTCAGCCTGGCACTGAGGCTGTCATACTGTAGTTATATGGAAGCATCGTTAAATGGCTAGAAGAAAATAAAGAGAACTCATATAAATGGTAACAATTTGAGTTTGTAACTGCTAGACTGAGCACCGGATAAAAGTGTGTTATATGTGCCCAGGAAAAAGAAAGTGAAGTGAAGCAAATACTAACGTTAAAGGGCAAACTAATGCTAAAGGTTATAAAGATATTGCTTCAGAATACATTTTATGCTCTTGTGGACTTCCCCAAAGGAACTATCTTTTCCAGTTACACTAACCAGTTATAACTGAAGACTTCGCATTGAAGGATGAAACAGGAAAGTTGCATTCACTATTCCTGCAAAATTTTATATAATTCATAGTCTCTGAGAGTATTAATAATAACAATAATAAAAACAAATATTTTAAACACATTTATTAATGAGCATTTGATTTTTTTATATTCTTTCAAAATGCATATATTTGAAATAGTGTTAACCAAAATTTGGACAACTGTTCGTGATGGATGAAAAAAAAAGATGTCTTGCACACTGATTCAAAGCTTGAAGTGGTATATGGGAATACTGGTGGCATTCTCAAAAATATAATGAAAATATAATCAATATATCTTCATATTGCTATCAGATATAAGCTTTTTCTATGATTTTAGGTAGCAGAATGAAAGAGGTCTTCCTGATAGTAGAGGAATATTACCAGAGGTGGTAACAGAAGGTCTCCCATTTCTTTTATTTTTCAGTTTACCACAATTTTCTATAAGAAAACTAAATCACACCTCTCACATTGTCCAATCACATCTCCCACATAGACCACCTTGCGCAGTGGAGTCAGTGGAGGAGGCCCTAATCTCACTCTCGCCCTTGTCACAAATGTGGCTGGTAGGAATGAGAGAGGGGGCCTTCTCCGTGATTGCTCCTCACCTCTGGAACTCCTTTCCTAGCGAAATAAAAATAGCCCCCACCCTCCTCTCCTTCAGAAAACTTCTGAAAACACACCTATGCACTTTGGCGCACGGTTTACATTTTAATTGTCTAATTGCCTAGGATATGTTTTTGTGCAATAATATTTATTAGTGTAATTATGTTTTATTTAAGTGGCTGTATTTCATATTATTTTAACCTTAATTCTTTTCTGATAATTAGTTTAAAACTGTTCCTTTGGCATTTCTGACGTTGTGTGATTTTAAATTATGGCATTGAATGTCTGCCTTTTTATATGTATGTAAACCGCCCTGAGTTCCCTCTGGGGAGAAAAGGCGGTTCAGAAATTAATTAATTAATTAATTAATTAATAATATCACACACATGCACACAAAATAATCCTAATACAAATTTTATTTATTTAGCAATAAACCTAGATGGGTGAGTTTCAATCAGTAGGCATTTAATAGCAGTGGAGCTTGGATAGCTTTAATGGAACTATCCAAGGTGCTGAAACTTTTTGTGTGCTAGGATTCAGCAAACGAGATGAGTCCTTTGACACTTGAAATAAAACCTGCGGTAGATTCGCCAATCAACTAACAAGGAAGCCAACAGCCACCGCTAAATAGCTTTTCCAGAAGCTGTGTTTTTGTAGGAAACTGGACAACTGCAGCTTCAGCACTTCCAAATGTTGTGGCAAAGTCCTACTTGTTCATATAATGGCATGTTCTCTGTCATACTCAAAACCAGTTAGGAGTATGGCAGAAAACTTACCATTATAAGAAAAAGCAGTTAAAATGCCTATCTTCTTGGAAAGGTAATTGCAAAAGGGGGAAGTGGATAATTACGTTCATATCAATCGACATTGGTCATAATTTCTGTATAGAACATTATATTCCTTTCTTTTTAATAGCTCATCATCCTTCTTTCTATCTTTAGTACTAAAACATAAAAATTACTTCAGGGATGAAGCAGACTTGATTGCTTCAAATTTCAGTACAATAAAAGCTCATTCTCTCCCTTGTAAAGCTGGGGAGAACCTAGGGAGTTGGACTAGTAACTTTGTGATCCAAGACCAGCATACTCATTTTATGTGGTTTTTGGACTAATTTCATGAAATCTTAATTTAATATTGTCTGCAAAAATGGAGTGGCAGGGAGATAAAGGACTAGAATACTCTGCCCCTCTGGTTCTGGTTCAACCGCTCACCACTTGCTGTTGCACTCCGATCCTGGAAACACCTATGATCACCACACCACACAAGATTCCAGGAATATAAACAGACAGTTTATTGTAATATATATATATATATATATAGAATCAGGAATAAGAAAGGAAGATGTATAATCCAAAAAGGTTTAGCAACAAGTGATATTCAAACAATAATCCAAATGTCTCATATAGTTCCAGAGGTGGCAAAGCCAGGAACAGCCAGAAATCACAGATACAACGTAAGTCCACAATCATGAAGGTATAACTAGTAACACTTGAATAGGAATACATGAACAAGTACACAGAAAACTTCCAAGATATATTAAATTCAAAATCAAAGCTTGACTTGAACCAGGAACAAGAGAACTTAGGCTTAGCTTCTCACTCTTACTCAGGGTTGCGTGAACTGACCTTAAGGTAAACAACTTGTTGTAGACAGCCATGGGTAAAGCTAAAGGTTGTCCCCTGACATTAAGTCCAGTCATGTCTAACTCTAGGGTGTGGTGCTCATCTCCATTTCTAAGCCGAAGAGCCGGCGTTGTCCATAGACATCTCCAAGGTCATGTGGCCAGCATGACTGCATGGAGCACTGTTACCTTCCTGCCGGAGCGGTACCTATTGATCTACTCACATTTGCATGTTTTCGAACTGCTAGTCTGGCAGAAGCTAGGGCTGACAACGGAAGCTCACGCCACTCCCCGGAATCAAACCTGCGACCTTTTGGTCAACAAGCTCAGCAGCTCAGCGCTTTAACTCACTGTGCCACCAGGGGCCCTTAGAGCCATGAAAATCATTCCAATTCCATGAATTTCTTTTACAACTTTCCCACACAATTTCTCTGAATGTCACAATATTTTTCAGTTATGATTTGTAAATGAAGACTTTTGTTGATCTCCTTAGCTCCAGTTTTTTCCCCATGGGAACCCTTCTTATCACTCAGCTCTTAACTTGATTTCTTATTTGCTGTTGCTACTTCTGCCTCCTCTGACTGCTCTTGAGGCCCTTTAATAGAGCTATTAATAGAGCTATTAAAAAGCCGGTTTTCTCACAGAAAGAACCATCATTTCCCAGACTTGAGGGCCCATCACTTTGTGCCACAGGAAAGCTCACAATCCTCTCTAAATCATCAGTTAAACCATCAGCGTCTGGTGACTGATCTACAGCAGTTGCATCCTCCCAGTGACTTTTTCCAATGGTTCTATAGTTTTTCACAAGAAAAGCATTCTGCAACTTGCATCTAAGAGATATGATGCATGATCAACAAGAGTCAAACTGGCCAAAATCATGTTCTAGGTGAAATTTAGCAATATTTCTAGGGAAGAACCTGTGGTTTCTTGTTCCATTAGGTTTCATCCCAGGCTTCCTCTTGCCTCATACGTCACACAGACATGAGAGCTTTCTCCTGCTCATGTCCAGTTTTGGGATGAGAAGAATTTTTTTCTCATTTTACACTGAGAAACTCCTTGTCTTGAGGACAAAAAGCATTGATTCCTCAAGAAAGGCGTTGTGACACCCTGGATATCTCATAAAGGCTGCTGGAATAGTTACTAAATCAATCTATGTAAAGTATATTACCACTCTGAAACTCTATATAAATGGCAAGAATAAGTCTATCTAATCTAAATATAGATAAAACAGAAACTACCATAATTGCCAATATGAAACTTTTGGTTTTCATACAACAGTATTTGCACAAAGTTAACTTGGCAGGAGTAATTTGGGTAGATCTCTAGTTACAGGAAACAACAGCTGCTATTTCTGCTCTTATAATTGTGACAATAATACTCTGTACGCTGGAAGAAATAGAATAGATTTTTCCAGGATATTAATATCAATTTAGTCTGCAATTCTATATCTACTGCCCTGGGAGGAAGATCCACTAAATACAACAGGGCTTACTCCTGAGTAAATACATACAGCATCAGGAATGCTTTTGCTTGCAACTGTAGCTATCATGAACTGTTTCAAACTTCAATTACACATTTGTTTTCTCCTTTAGGAACATCACATCTATCATTTTGTGTTTAAAGCCCGGGTAACTTTTACTCAACCATTTTATTGATTCATAGAGCTATTAAAAGGAAGATGAAGGGAATAGAACTGAGTACAAATAGGAATAATAAGAAAACCTTCCTCTCTGAATTGAGTGCAAAGATCTTTCATTCTGTTAATGTTAGAAAACGGTGACGATAACTAATGATTCTGAGTTTAGATTATAGTTCCCTGTGGTTTTCCCCCCTGTTCTTTACCTTCAAACAATTTATATAACAAATGAGAAAGCAATGCATTGCCTCTAAAACAGCTTTTTGAATGGGGGAAGAATCTGAGAAAACTGACTTAAGAAGTTAACATATATGTGGACTGTATTTTCCCTCCCTCAAACTGGTCTTTTCTTCTGTAAATCTAGTTATAAGTATCAAATTTTCCATTACAACCTTCAAATTTGGATGTGGAAATATTCCATGCTTCAAAACTGGCAAATAGTATCTTTTTTCCTGTTAACTGAAACTGAAGCATTTGGAAAATCAATGCACTGTGAAATTGTTTCTATTTTAATAGTAATATAATATGGAGGGGAAAACACCTGCAATGTCCTATCATCTCTTCAGGACGCAATAGCTCTAATATTCACCGAAATAATTATAAGAATTAACTATGTTAATCTTTAATGAAGACTACTCATTGTTTGGTCTCTTGACAGAATGATTTAAAAGCAATATATTTTATGGGAGAAATATATACATTTGGGCAACTGAAATAACACTTCTGAAGTTCTGATAAATATTTTATGCAATGGCATATCTTTGTTCTTAACAGTTCAGAGAGATAAACAGGTATATCAGTCTAATAGCTGAGAAACCTAATTGCCTTAAATGAATACTAGTGGATATTTACCATTAAGGAGAAGGTTGACTCAAGTGAGTTTTTAGCTCTTCTCAGGAAGATCATATTTAACACAAAAAAAAAAAAGATTGTGATCTCTATCAAGGTCAGGCCTTTCCAATAGGTTATGATTATTCCAAATCATGTGAATACCAATTAATCTCAAAAAGGGTCACACTTCCAAAAGCCTGTGGAGATTCCTGGTTTTCCCACATTTTCTCTAGAACTTAAGGTGGCTTATCAACATTGAAATATACAGTCATTAAGTCCACGACTGACATTAAGTCCAGTCGTGTCTGACTCTGGGGGTTGGTGCTCATCTCCATTTCGAAGCCAAAGAGCCAGCGTTGTCTGCAGACACCTCCAAGGTCATGTGGCTGGCATGACTGCATGGAGTGCTGTCACCTTCCCACCGGAGCAGTATCGATTGATCTACTCACATTTGCATGTTTTCAAACTGCTAGGTTGGCAGAAGCTGGGGCTAACAGCAGGAGCTTACGCTGCTCCCTTACCTTTCGGTAAGCAAGTTCAGCAGCTCAGCGGTTTAACCCACTGTGCCACCGGGGGTTCCAAATTCTAAATACCTTTAAAAAGCATCCTATATTGCATAGGATAGTGCCATGGCAGTTATAGTGGTACCACTATAAAATCTTATATTTGTGTGTTTTGAAAAGGGACACTGTCTGTTCCTTTGCACTGGTTTTGCTAATCTCATCTTCACAATAATCCTGTAAAGTAAGTCCTTCTTAAAAAGTACACTTGGGGGCATTGATGCTTTATTGGCTCATGTTTCATCCATTTCTGTGCTTTGGCGGCCCCCACCTGATTCTGTCACTGAATGAATGGACCTTTAGACCAAAAAAAAAAGGTTTTGTAGCACAGCCTGATAAAAGAATACCTGATCAATTTGAAAATTAATACTGCAAATTAAATTAAAGTTCCATTAAACTGCAATCATGATGATACAACTGAGCATATCTGCATTTTGCTTATCCTGCCTATTTGTTTTGAAAAATGTCACTTTTTAAAGAAGATATGGAATGTAGTTCAGTATGTTGCCAAATACTTGGAGAGCCAAATACTTGTGGGATCCTCACAAGTTACAGAATAAGAACAAACATTTGTGAGAGTGTCATTATCCAAGCACAAAACTTACCCCATCTGTTGCTTTCACCAAGAGATCATAAGCAGATGGATCCTGTTCCCTGTCAATGTCCCGAGACACACATATATGGCCGCTGCTCGCATTAATCTGGAATGCTCTGGATTTCTCATAGCTGTGGAAGCTATCATAAAGAGAGTACTCAATCTGGCCAAAAAGACCCGAATCTCTGTCTGTAGCTTTCACCTGCAATGACACAGTAAAAAAAAATCCCATGAACTCTTCCATCATTACTAATGGAACACAAACACACACAATTAATCAAGTAAAATGCACTTTTTTCAATGGCTGAGGCTACCATTCAATGCACATTTACATTTAAGTGCTCCACTGAACTCTCACTTCCAATGAGAAATGCACTGGATTGCAATGTCAGTTTTCAAAAATGGCATGATAAAGTTTGGAAAAAATATAAAAGGGATGAAGGGAGGGGGAGAGAAAAGGCACCTCTAAGACTAACTGTTTTTGTATTATAGCATGAGATGTTGTGGATATAAACTAATTTCTTCAGATCCAGTACAGTATAGGGTATTTGTGCCTTTTTGGTTGGCCTTATTATTGGGAAATCAGACTTGCCCATGATATTCCACACTCTTGTTACATCCCGAATAGATTACTGCAATGCACTCTGTGTGGCGTTACCTTTGAAGACTGTTTGAAAAGCTTCAAGTTGTCCGATGGGTGGCAGCCAGATTTCTCACCAAAGCAGCATGCAAGGAGCACACAACCCCCCTGTTATGTCAGCTCCACTGGCTGCCAGTCTGCTACCAAGCACAATTCAAAGTCCTGACTTTGCCTGTAAAGCCATAAACTGTTCTGGCCTAACACAGATACATTTCCTTTTGAAAATATAACAGTTAGTATCAGAATAATAGAATCACAGAGTTGGATGGAAGAGACCTCATGGGCCATGTAGTCCAACCCCTGACAGATGGCCATACATTAAAATGCATTATGTGACATTTTATGTGTGTTTGCTGTTGTAAATTTATATTGCCATCATTATATGCTTATCTATTGTTTATTTTGTGTCCGGCAGTTTGAGTGTTTCTGTGAGCTTCCCCAAGTCCCTTTGGGGAGATGGTGATGGTGAATAAATAAAGTTTTATTAATTTATTTATTCAGCCTCTATTTAAAAGCCTCCAAGGAAGGAGCTTCTACCACACACCAAGGCAATGAGTTCCACTGTTGAACAGCTGTCACAGGAAGTTCTTCCTAAGGTTCAAGTGGTGGTAAAGACATTCATAGGGGAAATATGATGGAAGGGATGTAACCAATGACAGACACCAAATCCTCTTCATTTTGATATTTGGATGTAGCCATTTATAAAGTATAGGGGGATTGTTTAATTTATAAATCCCAACGCTTGCCACCAACTATAAAAGATTAGGGGATTTATTTAGCAAATCCCACAAGCTTACACCACTTGTAATGGAATGTGGTTTAGATAACTTAAAATCAAAAGCTGTAAAAGCTGGAAAGATCTTCTGACCAAAAAACCTTCTAAAAGAACACTGGCTACCACCGCAATTTAAAGAAATGTTTAGCCTTTGGCTTGACTTGAGATATCTTTAGGCTAGTATGTTCTGGATTCGCACTCAGGCTTGGTAGTCTGTGGTATGTATAAACACATGCTAAACATTTTGATACCACATTAACTATTGTATAACTCAATTCTAAGATATGTTGAGATTTGTAGTTAAAAAGATATTTCTTTTTAAAATACATGCTGCCACTATCTGACTTCTGTAAATTGCTTTGGAACTTCTCTCACAGAGTAACACTGAGGCAGCGATTGTGAACAAAGAACAGTATTGTTTATTTGAGAGAACTTGAGCTAAACAGGCATTAAGCTTAGCTGTTTCAATGTTGAATAAAGCATATGGTTTCTTTAAACAGTTCAAAACTTAGTTGCACATAACACTCCTCTCTCCCTCCAGAAACTACTGACAGGATTCCTCTCTGCCTAGTATTCCTAAACTCCACACAGACAGTCCTTTCTTTTTGGGATCTGTCTCTCCACTCCCCAGCTATCCTTTCTAATAGCTGTAATCTTCTCACTAACTCTGTGACTAACTGACCAACTTCGGCTTCATTAGCTCTGCTTCTCTAACCCCCCCCCTCCCCCCGACTCATCTCTCCTTCTTCTTTGACACACAGACCCTAACTGAGCTGTCAGGTTTTAAAACACACCCTTAAAGGCAACTTTTTCCCCTTTTCTCAAGTTAAGCTCCACCCACTTTCTCCCAGCCAATAACAAACTCCCCTCATTTCCCTCCAAGCTGCTCCTAAGCACGCCCCCTCCAGGAAATGAGATTCTAAAATGGATGTCCCCAGGCACCCTTCTAAAATGGCTGCTAAACTTCCTGGGCCTACTTTTCTGAGCTTACTCTGACCTTACAGGTAAGGAATTCATCACACCATTCAAAACCTGTGTTTTGATCTGGCACAAAAATCGAGGATTCTTTTAACAACTACAATACAAGTAGACCAAGAATGCAGATTTATCCCACACAGTGCACTACCAATTGTGATAGTCTTCCATTACCAATCTCCCTTCCTCTGCACAGTAATCTTTATCCCTTAAAATAATTAATGGCTAAAAGAAGCTTAAGTATGTGCAGTTAAAGGTAAGCAGAAGTATTCATGAGGCTAGAGCATATTAACAGCAAGTTGGGTGTAAATGGGAATAACCTTCACTTCAGGCATATAAAACAACCTACCCCCTTTATCTCTCACGTTCATCAATAGCAGACACACAAAAATAGTGTGCCTGTAGAAACCGATTTTTCACCGAAATATTATGAAATGTAATGAACTAATTAATCCCCTGTTACGTCCCTCCCCATTAAAAGGACTGAAAGTCAATCTAACAGTCTGGAAAAGCCACATAGTCCCCTGACTTAACAAGGAGTTATTTCATAATGCATGATAGCAGCATCTCTTGTGGAAGAAAAGCCTGAGTGTTTTGATAGGACTATTACATTTTTTTATACTGTATGGTTTTTAAGTTCATTCTATAAACTGCCCACAGGAAACTTAATAAATCATTCAGCAGTGATATAGTCCCAAGGCATATTCTGGTACATGTAATTTCCAAATCAAGGTCATGCTTCTTCTTCTTTTATTTTTATTTTTTTTTAGCTCCCTGGCTACAGCAACCACATGCCTCGATGTATTATTGAGCTGTTGTTGTTGTTGTTGTTGTTGTTGTTGTTGTGCCAACCTTAAAAGCTGCGGCATAGAGACCGAGAACTGGGAATCCCTGGCCCTTAAGCACTCTAACTGGAGGTCAGCTGTGACCAGCAGTGCTGCAGAATTCAAAGAGGCATGAATGACGGGTGAAAGGGAGAAATGTGCCAAGAGGAAGGCGCATCAAGGCAACCCTATCAATTCGCTTTCTGGAAACCAATGTCCTCACTGCGGAAAAACATGCAGATCAACAATAGGTCTCCACAGCCACCTATGGACTCACCACCAAGAAACTACACTTGGAGGGCCATCATCCTCAGGTTATGAGGGATTGCCTAAGTAAGCAAGCAAATAAGTAAATCAAGGTCATGCTTCTGTTTTTTTAAGCTCCTGACTACAGCAACCACATGCCTTGATGTATTCTTGAGCTGCTGCTGCTGCTGTTTTTATTGTGTACCTTCATATCATTTTTTATTTATGGCAACCCTAGGGTCAACCGATTATGGGGGTTTCCTAGCAATATTTGTCCTCCTGGGGGGAGGGAGTTGAATACCTTTGAGGCTGAGAAAGCAGGATGTGCCCAAGGTCATCCAGTGGGTTTCTATGGCCGAGTAGAGATTCTCCAGAACCATAGCGCAGTGTTCAAGTCACTACACCATGCTGAATCTCTATAACCTTGAGATTAACCTCTACATCTATGAGACTGTGAAATGAGTGCAGAGAAGCTGCAGACAGCTCTGCGAGCTATCCCACAGCAGTACCAAAATTTTCAAATGAAATTACTAATAAATGGCCAAATGGTCAGCCCAATACCCCTAGGTCACATTTTCAGCGGTGCGTAACATTTAACTATACATTAATTTCCCCGGCTTTTGAAGTCATGCAGATACACATTTAATCCTTTCTAGTGTCTACAGAGAGCCACTGCAGGAAAAAAGAAAATCTGCAACCTTACAGTTAAGCAATCTCAACTTTTTAGTCCTCAGCTGTGATGTGTTCTTTAGAATGAATTTTAGATGCAGGATTTCAAAAGCACAACAGTAGCCTTGTGGAGTCTTATCTTATAACTGCAGCAGGAACATTAAGAATAGAGTTTCAACTGCAAAGTGGGTCTGGCTGGGGTTATCTACATATGCCAGAAAGGGTTAAGTCTATATCTGCATGACTTAAAAAGCTAGGAAAAGTAATTTAGAATTAAAGCATTATGCACAGTTGCGCAGCTGCAAATGTTTCCTGGAGGTATTTACTGACCATTTGGCCATTTATTTGTAGTTTCAGTTCTACATCGGACCATTTTTCACCTTATACAGGCAGGCCCCAAGTTGGAAACGTCTGACTTACAAATGACTCACAGTTGCAGATAATGGTTGTGATAACAGGAAGGGAAAGAAATTTACCCTCAGAAGAGAAATTAACACCTGAAAAAATTATCCTGGGGAAAAGGTGTCTCCACTGAAGCTTTATCACCAATTCTTGTTTCCAGAAAAAGCCTATTTTTTTCAAAATCCAGTTATCACAAAGACAGAAAGTGAGGTGAAATCTTCTGAACAGGATTACAGACAGTAAAACAAATAACATAGGGGTGTTAACCCTACCCTATGCTATCCAAAGCTTGTGTGTGTGTGTACGTGTGCTAACGTGTGTGTGTGTGTTTGTGTATGTGTATATATGTGTGTGTGTGTATATATATATGTATGTATATGTATATTTGAAGATAGCACAAGTTTTTCAGCCCTTTTTTTTGAGCTGACAAAGCCTCCCTCGGCATATAATTGGGTCAAGCCGGGCAGTGGATCCTGGAGGCCATTGCTTGCAATATACAATATATTTCTCTCTCCTCTTCGCCTCCCTTGACAGTGTGTTTTCTTTTCCAGTCAAAAGAGAGGGAAGGAGGGGAAGGAGATATATTTCATGTCCTCGTTTGTATGGCTTTCTTTCAAACCCACTCAATTTCCTGGTGTTTTGTATGTGTATCTAAATGTATTACCTTTACA